GACCATTTGGGAGTGTTGATTTTGACTCTTCTAGGACGGCGTCTTTCTGGGGGAGATACTTTCAGAAGGAAAACTATACGTAAACGTGTATGTCAGGGCCGAAACTTACTCCTCAGGTGGGGGCATAGCTAACATCTACTACACTTATGGCCATCGAAAATGACGCAAGATTATCACAGATCAAAAAACGAAGCCCTTGTTCCTGGTTATACCTCACAGTAGTCACATATCAGGAACTACTCACACTTCTTGATAACGCTGAGTAAAGAACTTCATGAAAATCAAGTAAAACACCAAAGCGGGTTCCCAAAATGCTAAACGTAAATACGATCCAATTGCAACACAACTATTGAGCGTCGTGTACAACAACGCCAGAAACTCTATATTTTAAATACACGACAAGCAACATTGGAATGGTGGTGAATGCTAGGGTACACATTTCACCTGTTGTAATTCGATTTCCTGTTGGACACGTAAAACGAATTACAGTAATTTATTATACAATGCGATCAAGAGATATTTTATCTACAAGAGAAAGCATTACATCACTAGAGAGGATGGAGTGAGCGAGGTGTCTTTCTGGAAGACATAATGTAACTTGAGCTTCATGTGCGATATTTTATTGTTTTCATTCCCTTTGTTTCAGTAAAATTCAAAAGTTAAAAAAATTGTCGTTTTAGGTTACGTCCGAAAAAAAAAGACTTCCCTGCCTCGCCACCCGGAAGGCTTATGAGAATAGATATAAGTAGAAAAAAATGTTTCGCTTGCTTTCATATTTTCTATCGTCCTGCTTTAAAGTTTTATAAAATATTAATTCACTTTGAATGAATTCGCCCTGGCAATCACATATGATATTTCTCTTTTAGAAGGTTATTGAAGAGAAAAAGTAATAGTACAAAATACATAGAATGAAAACTGCGAAGTATTAGAAGTATGGTAAATTACTTCTAACATGAAAATCTGTCAACAAACCGTCTTCATGGACTGTGAAAAATTTCAAATTAATTTTTTGATGTATATATCCCTATTTATATACATCCTTAGTTTCTACAAATTTCTCCGGGATAAATTTGTCGCATATTTTCTTAGAACATACTCAGTTTTCTCTTCACTAGGTTCATCTTAGCACTATCACCCTTACACTATATGTTCTATAGAATAGTCTATCAGAATAGAAACATAGCGAGATTATGTCGAGTAATACACAAAACTTTGGGATTATTTGATTGTTTGTCAAATGGTATGACAGCCATGGCAAAGTTCTCAGGAGAGGATACATTTATTAGGAAGTCACAACCATGTATGACTATTTTAATATATTCAGGCTAATATGTCAATTTTATTTTAGAGATATGAATGAAGAAACGATAATTCCAAAACTAATATCCTGGGCTAAAGAGTATATCGGCCTCAGTAAACCTTTTGCCTTCGGAATTTCCAAGTGAGGAGTACGAGTACATATCATACATAATTTCCAAATGAGGATAACATACCATTGGCTATGAATTGTTTTCATAAGAACAATTTTTAAAAGGGAATTCAATATTATTTCAATGTGATTTATTTAAAGGATTATCTTCTGGAACGGTTTGCAACATCTTTTTTTATAGGAAAATGAACGTACTTGATAACCAATATGAAGTAGTTTATGTTACGTATTTTTTGTTATATGACAGTTTGTTTGAAGTGAGAATTTGAAAGAATGTACGTTCAATAAATGAGTTATAAGATTTTTCTTGATCAATTAATTATTAATTTTTTGGGCGAATCATTCTATAATATCCTTCAAAAAGATAGGTATAACTTCAGAAACAAGTTTATAAATGTAATTCCATGCATATTTTTGGAGTCAAAACATTACTGCATCTTTTAATAACCTATTTACATTCCCCCAGAACACAATAGCGTATTAGAAACCACGTACTTCCAGATCTACTACGCCTTTTCTTAATATAACGTTACTTCTCAATCTAGACGAGAGGGATTTATCGGCAAGTAAATACTTGTACGTCTTATAGGTGAGTTAATTTCAGTCGTCAGAGATTGAGACTAAATTACGACACAAATTTCACTTAATTATTAGGTGTGCAATTAACAACAAATATAAACCCACAAAGACTGCCTTCGCCGTTCTTATAGAACTCCGGTAGACTAAAATATTTGTGAGATATTTGACATCAAAATTCTGATCCAGTTGATTGCTGATTACATAGAGTTTATGACTTAAAGACAAGTTAAAATTCTCTTTTCTGCGCTGATTACAAAATCGGAACATCTTTTTGACGATTTTTTTCTAACTCCTACATTCGCGAATGAACGCTGACCCGCGATCTTGTAACAGACACGATAACGGTACGCGACATTAAATCCTGGAACCCTTACATCTTAATGTCTCTTCGCTCATTTATCTGCATGTGCTCCGTTTTCAGTGTTGAGGAACTCCACTGTGTTGTCCAGTGTTGAGGAATAGTTCCATTTCGCGAATTGTGTTTACGTGTTTTGTACTTCGTATGCGCTGATAATCACCGGAACCGTCACTTGCGTTAACAACTGTACCGACCTGTTCCCAAAATATTCTCACTGTCTTCCTCACACAGTCTTCTTCCGTTTCTGATTGAATAGCGAAGTAACAGGGCGAGTGCCGCGTCCGCCAGCATTTTCAACCACTAGCTAGTTTTTGACTCTCCTCACCTCCGCAATAACAGTTCGTTTACATCGAAATTGTTGCAGCTGCATTTAGGATAAAATGTTGAAGTCTGCACTTTCGGCAACATGGTGACATGTGTATTCATGCCTTTGCGTTGACATTTGCAATTGAAACCAAATATTTACCCTTACAGCCTCAAAACAATTCTGTAATCACGCCGTATTCACGACACCTGCGGTCATGATTTATCTTTTAAGACATTCAGTCGTAACTAAATTATGTCATCTTTAGATGCATGTAATTGTTTGTGCTAGGTCCTCAATTTTTAAAAACACCAATCAACGAGAAAAAATATACGTGTTTTGAGTAATCGCTCACTGACAGTCTCCGGAAACATCACCTACGCCCTGAGCTGCAGTGTCGAGGCCCCATACATTTTTACTCTCCAACAGCACTCTTTGTCTCTACCGCACACTGCAGTCTTCACAAGCCCAACTGCCAGGAAGGCGTTCACCTTGTCCTACCCGCTGTCTTTTTCAACCCATCTTTAAGAACGTCGATTTCTGTCGCCTGTGCACTTGGCTCAAAAAACTGTTTTCTGAGGAATATAGACATCAAATACCAAACCTTGACTATTTTGTTCTCAATAAAATCATGAAATATACATTTATGACAACATTGTGGGATCTGTGTTTGTCACTAAATATTGACATGCAATCACAACTACATCGTGACACCCGCTAACACGGCAAAATTTTGACACATGCGATGACAACTTAAATCCCCAAAACTGTAGCAGTGGAAAAAATGTACGAGTACTAAATTAATTTAACTGTGCTCGATTCACAACCTTGAGGGACTCCACAAAAATGTAAGTACGTACTCACCCGTTGACAGTCTCCGGAACCGCCACTTATGTCCGCAGCTGCACCGTCCCGTCCCCACACACTCTCACTCTCCACACTGTCGCCCGCTGCCTCCCACTGGCAGGAAGGCGATCGCCGTGTCCGTCCGACTGACTTCTTCCACCACTCGACGTTACGTATATTTCTTCACCTCGTCTCGCCTCCGGGGTGTCACGACGCGGTGCGCGCTGCGCGGCGGAGCGTCGTACCGTTGTGCCCCGCTCCGGTCGCTGTACCCGGAGCGACTGACGCCGCCGCGGGCCCGGAGCGCCGACCCGTGCTCCTCCCTCCCCCCCCCTCCCGCGGACTCGACCGGAGCGCCCGGAACTCCCGCGCGCGCCTGCGCCGCGCACGCGCGCGCGCTCCGGCGGCCAGGCGAGCAACTAGGGCGGTCGAGCCGGTGCGTGCGACGAGGGGGCGGTGCGGAGAGGCTTCATTTGAGCGAGGGCGGCCGTAGGGCGCAGATCGGCGAGAAGAGGGCATAGTTGGAAGAGGGGGAAAAGGCACATAGTCAGAGCATGGGATAGGATGTGAGGGAGCAAGGGTCACTATCGAAAAAAAAAAATTATGAAGAATGAAGTTGAATGTGAGCAATTTTGGCCCTTTTTATTGTATTGTATTACATTTTTTTGTATTATTTATTGTTTTATTTTATTGTCACACTTATTTTTTACTAATTTCGTTGAATATGAAATTTCAATGAAACAATTCCAAATAAATAATAATTTATGGCAGAAAATAATACTTATGATTTGAAAATTCTATGATTTTATAATGAAGTATATTTACTACGCCAGAAAGTCTTGTTCATAATTTACAGAAATAGCTCTACCAACTTCTTAGAATATGTATGAGTTTTGTAACTCATTTGTTACACTTGTCAATGAAACACAAATTACTTAAATCATTTTAAATGAAATGTTTAATTTTGCTTCTCATTAGATATTAAGTTCATTTACTACAGACTTTATATTATTTGATTTTGGAGTAATTTTTACTACGAATACGAGATTTATTTGTACTACTTTATTATTTTTGAGAAGAAGCAAAAAAGGTTTTTTACCAGTAATACCGTATTTTTAGGTTTATATTACAATGTAATTAACTTGAAAGTTTATTTGGGCAGCATTGATGAAGCCCGGTTAAATGGTCGAAACGTCCGCAATAAAAAAAGTCTTAATTTTCGACCTAAACTCAAGAAAGTATGCCTTTGCAATACTTATTTTCAATTTGTGTTTCCAAGCAGCGTCTGACTCATAACAGGACTGTCATTTGTTCCCCATCATGGATACTTATATAGGAAGAACAAGTGACTATTTTGAGTGCATATTCAAGTTTAAGTCATTTTCTGTCTTAAAGTGCGTATGTGAAGTTCATCATGTGATTGTAATACTTTCTGCTATTGCAGTCAACCCTATCTTCCTATGAGGGTATTTTTGTGGGAAGAAATGAGCGAATCGAGGAGGTATTTCAATAACATACTGCCCGATTACAAAAACGAAAGTGTCATAGTGTCGAACGAAGAATGGAGGAATAAGGTGCTAAACGTTGTTCAGATGATTCGAGAAAATCAGCCTTACGAAGACAATTCAACTAGTTTATACATTGGAACAGGAGGAATCGCCTACATGTTTTATTTTCTAAGTCAGCTGCCGTTATATTCAGAAGAAAAGAATGAGTTCCTAGATCACGCTCTGAAATATATCGATGCATCGCTGAAGCACATTAAAGGACTTAGGATGGATAATACTGGGTTTTTAACTCGACATTCTGGCGTGTATGCTGTTGCTGCAGTCATATACAATGCCGTAGGTACATATCTTTATTCTTTACATAATCCAATACGAATTTAAACTATAAATATAATCGTATTAATAGGTTTTGTTGATATGTTGAAGCATAGTACCAAAGAGTAAGCTCAGCGTGACATAGTGCAATGCCAGGAACAGGAGAGTCTTCTCGTTGGGCGCTTCTTGGTTTCAAAATTAATTCATGTACATCAATATAGATACATTATATTGAATACTGAATGCCATTAAAAGGAAAACGCATATAAATAGCATATTATAAGATTTTTTGGATTGTCTGGGGGTTGTGCAACCTAAGTACCAGCCGTCCCCGCTCAATAGTTTCCGAACAAAGAATTAAATAATCTCTTTATATTAATCCGAGAATATCCAGACCATCAATTGCCGGCATCAGGATTATTCACTTATTGCATGTATGAACCATGCATTTAATCGTTCAAAATAGACAATAGCGGTGAAAGAGGGTATCCTGTCTTACTCCTACTGTCAGTTTTATTTTCTGCGATGTACTGCAGTCGCCACACTTGACGCAAAAACTTACCTATCTGTACGCGCTCTGCGTCACGTTAAAAAGTTAACATAAAACGCCCAATTCTCTTGGTTTTTGACGTCATGCTTCCCTATTTATTGAGTCAAAATCCACAATACAATCCACGATTGAGACGAAATCTACAATACAGAATGAATCACCCCGTTTACCTGAAAGCGCCTGTTTTACTAGTTCTACTTTTACTTTTACTTTTACTACTTCAATACAAATTTATTCTTAGTAGCTGCGAATTTTCTTCTAAACTCTGCCTGCAATTATGATATTTTATTGTCTAGTTTACGCCTATGCACAAAGTTAACCAATGAGAATTTTGAAAAACAAATTGCTTAGCGCTCGTAAAAGACGAATTCCGCGATAATTTTCCGAGCAATTCGTACCACTTTTATTCTTAAATAGCAGTTGACCGCTGTATTAAGTATTTCTGGATACTATCCGTAATCAACCATGCTATTAAACAAATCCAGACTACTCCCTGGATCTTTGTTCCATAATTTAGACAACAAATTTTAAATGCTGGCTTTCCTTCTATTCGTGAATAGAATAGCAATATTCATTCCACATTATTATTATTATTATTATTATTATTATTATTATTATTA